TAACACAGATTATTATTATAAAGATCAGACGATTACCCACCGTCAGCAGAGGGAAAATATGACTGCTAACAACTTCATATTTTTCCCGCCTGCTGACTGCCCGTAATATTTCAATGTGATTCTGATCTTTTAAAATGTTGTTTTTGTATAATGTAGTATTACAAAAGGAAATAACAATAATAGAAAATAAAAATGCCCCCAAAATTAACTAATACACATATTGCAAGTTTGAATCACCAACGGGAACGAGCTGCCGTTTACTATAATAAACAATAAAATGGATACATAACATGTCATAAAAGACAATAACATATTTTTATGTTAAAAATGCCCACACTCAAACCATCATCTGTAATGTGACCCAATTTAGCCAAGCAGTCAATCAGCTGACTCACAGATGTATGGCTGTTGCTCTGTGCTGTGTGTATGCCATGATGTCACATCGGGAGGGAGTGCAGCCACACAGTTATATAGCACGGCCTCCACACACATCCACACCTACGCTCTTCATTTTTCTTATTTTATAGTTTTATATTATAGTATTTTCTTTATTTGTAAGCCACAGTAAAGTACTGTATTGTATTGTAATAATTTTTCCACAACTTTTATAGTTTCATTATGAGTAAAAATATATGAGGCTATCGAGTTGGCCAATGGCCATGTAGTTAGCCAAGGCCTTGTCTATAAATGCCTCCACACATATACACACTCATGCTCTGCATTTTTCTTGTTTTATATTATATTTTCTTTATTTCTATGCCATATTAAAGTCGTGTAATGATTTTTACTCAACTTTTATAGTTCCATTACTTTTTTTTTTGCGGGGATTAGCCCACCCGGGCACAGGTCACTGACCCACCTCGGGGCCTGGGGGGCGAAAATGTATAATAATAATAATATTTAATAATAATAATTAGTTCATAGTAAATAAATTTTACACTAAAAAATAAAATAATAGTAACAACAACAACACTATTAATAATAATAATAATAATAATAATAATAATAAAGAACTATCGTATAAAGAAATACAAAAATGAAAAAAAAATCAAGTGAGAAACGATATATGAATGTTGTGTTGTCAGTGGTAAGAAAAACAATTGAGGCCCTGCAAATGTGTAAATGAGGCATAAAGTCAGATCAGCAACCTGGGACTTGGTCACAATTTTCGTGATGCCATATGGCAGCAGGGTCTACCATTAGACAACACATTATGCTTCCAATATCTTCCCAGGTGGTAGTACAGGTTGTACCCCTCTAGTCCGGCATTCTGTGGTCCGGAACGATTTTAGTTTGCCCATGGAGAAAAATAATTTGAGTCTGGTACTTTTGATGTTTGGCTAAATTTTACCTTATTTACCCTACCATTTTGGCGAATTACTACCTGTAATAAAGCAACATCCTAATAAACCAACGAAAATAACACAAATAAAGTTAAATAAAACTAAAACAACACAGAAAAAGTTTTTATGTTCTACAGCTTCAGCTAGAGTTGAACCTGATGACTTGGCAACTTCGTCATCCTAGTGAAAACACACACAACAACATTGGCTGTCCTTATTTTTTCAACTTTACCAACACTGGTGGGTAGAATTTTTTTTTTAATTTCAGAAACATTAATTACAATATATATGAACAGTAAGTAAGTGTTGCTTTCATATTCTTATGTAGAGTAATGACGACATAGTCACATGTGCGCACTTACATACTACCAGTCTCACTTTTTTCTTTACCATTAATGGTTAGCTACTTATATTGTTCCATTTATTAACTTTAAATAAGATTACTTAAAACGACCATATTAATTTTTTACATTAATTTTACTACAGCTACAACCAGGGTCTTATTTTCTTCAGTTTTATATGTAGAACCAGTCAGTCACTGGTTTTAAACATTAACGAAACAATTCTCCTCGTGTTTAATATTCTACGATATTAATGAATTGTATTGTTCATTTTGCACACATACATTAATTCAATCAAAAGACATTCAGTAATAAACAATAATGAATCTTTTTGTACATAAGAGAAATGACGCTTGTTATTAACGACAGTAATCGCCTGAACGCTATTGGATTCAAACCCATTTAAATTGAAGCCATTGGCCGAATTTTAAATTGTGTAGTTTTTTTTTTTTTCCAAATAAAAACGTCAAATTAAAAACTCGCAAAATTTGAGAACCTACTGTACATCATTTAACCCTTCAATATGTCTTCAAAGAGACCACAAAGCAGTGAAAGTGGTGCTAGTGCTTCCAAGCCTAAGCACAAGTCACTATCTATCCAGGAAAAGGGTGAATTTCCATGGTCCGGCACCGGTCAGGTCCCGAGGTTGCTGGACTAGAGGTACAACCTGTACCTCCATTTGATAGGTGCCTACTACCTACCAGTAGAGGCATATCCTGATAAACGATGCATATAAGGACTGAAAAGTCATTGGTTAGTGAATCAATGGTTATCGAAGCAATTAATTCCATAAGAATATAGCAGATTCAGGGTTTGGGGCTTCTCCCCCAAAATAATCAATCCCATCTACCCTTGGTATATATCTTTAGTGCAAACTGTTAAGCAAGAAAATAAAGCAGACATATAAAGCAAGCATAATAAGCATTAAATAAAGATAAATTAAGACTTGTTATATACTTGTGTTGAGGATGGTAGTGATGGTGTAGAGTGGCAAGTTCAAGTCTCTACCAATCTTTGCTGGTCCATCAATACCCTTATTATGCCTTATCACAGCACATCAAGCTGTCCATAAGAGAACAACAAGTCAAGCACATGGTAAGTGTAAACAAATGCTGAGAGTTAGGAATGGTTCAGAGGCAGTGCACAGAGCCCTCTTGTGGCAAGGATTTGTACCATTCTGCCACCCGCCAAATTCAAAATGGCTTTCCCACTCTTCATCTGATCATTGGATCTCTAGGTATCAACAAAACTTGCAGGTATTTCCCCCCTATGTAATCGTTGGTTATCTTGATTGGCGTTATTGGGACGTCGGTTTGCGGGCTACTCTGGTAACAATATACATGGCGGCTGGAGTGGCAAGTCGACAACATCCAAAGCCCACCGTCTACACACATCGTTCAGTTCCTAATACATACCTGTGTTCATTTTTCTTAATTGATAATTTTATATTATATTTTCTTTATTTATAAGCCACATTAGAATACTGTAATTTACCAGTGTGTCCATTACACTTTTGGAATATCATTATTATCTGGCATATCAACTTACCTCGCATTGTACAGCATTACATTTATTTATTATTGTATTATGCACTTTATTATTACTCTTTGTGCATTTATAAAAACACTTGTTTGCACAGTAATTACAAATAGATTATTTTATGTGGCAGCCAAGGCATGGTAACTGAGTATGTTTTTTGGGTTGGAATATTAAGGAATAATATAAACAAACGGAACAAAATGAACTAATAATTAAACACAAAAATTCTGAAATTGTCGAATAATATCAAAATACCTCAGTGACTGTATAGCAGAAATTATATATATAAACATTTATTTAAAAAAAAAAACATGATAATGGCAATGCCTATAGCCTTACATGTGTCACTACACTACCTTATGCAACCAACTCTCCCCCCCTTCCACCCCTTCCTCCACTTGGGCACCCAGGACAGTTGTCATTAATCCCATTTTCACTTATTTAGGCTCATTTGTCACTAGTGAGTGCAGAAGATTTGTAAATATTGTACAATAGCATTTTAAAGTGGCGGTGACACTAAGAAATGAAAGCTACTAAAAAAAAAAAAATACTAAATGTATCTTTTGAAGGGTGACCTTAAGAAGTCTGAACTCTCATATGGTTTTGCTTATAAAGGTAAAAAAAGGATATATTTTTTCAATTTTTGCAGATGAGGATGATTGTGATGAGTAGCAATATTCCATCTGATGGTGAGGCTGAGAATGTCTCTGCAGAGGATGCTATGGATTTGGAAGGGGCAAAGGATGTGCTCTCTCCTGAGGTAAGATTTATTTTCATCTTTTATGTCTTTTACTTCTGTGTAGTAAATGTTATTGAATTTTGGAACAAGCTTTAGTAAGTAAGGCTATAATATACAGTATGTAGTAGCTGAGTAGAACCATTTCAATGTTCCATGATTAATTCAAATTTCTGCATACACTTAAAGACCCTAGTTGTTGAAATGCAGTAATAACATAATTAAACTGGTTATCTTTGTACACTTCATATAAGCAGTGTTATCTCCATCCCTCCTTCGTTTCGCTTTTTTTGGACTTTTGCATTTTTTGGACTGGGGTCTGCCCCAATTAGTCCAATTTATCAAGGATCTACTGCTGTGCTTTTCATCAAGAGTTGCTTGATTTGAGTAGCATTGACATAGTATCTGGTGATGCAGACAGTGATGGGGAGGAAATGAATAATGTCAAGTTTGTTGAGGTGGCCAGCTTTAGGACATTGATACAGAAAATGTTGCTCACTCCCCCTCCTCACCCCGTCCGTTACCCCCTCCACGAGGTCGGGGTTGCTGTGGTGGCTGTGGACAGAGAGGTCCATGTGCATGACAGCCACAACAGTACGCGATGGGTGACTGCACAAATTTTATGCCTAAAATATCAGTTTTCAACTGTAAATAGAAAATAAAAAAATAAAAAATTTTGCAAATAATATGCCTGTGGAGGGTCAGGCTGGTCTTAAATCACCTGGGGCACAAGGGTTAATAATATTTGAAAAACTTAGTGACTTTCATTTTTACTTGGCAAAATCTTTGATTTCTGCAAATCCGTTGCTTGGTTTAGATTATAGGTGTGTGTTTTTGTAACCCCTACATACCACAAAATGTGAACCTATCTTTGCCAAATCTTCTCAGCTCTGGATAGGTGATAACGGGTTTAGTAGGTTTTGGGCAAAATTAGTCAAAGTCAAGGTCATTAAAAATCAGGATTTCACCATATAAAGGGCCGAGGTTATATATTTTCCCCCTTGCCATTTAATGCAATTTCAGACCAGTTCTTCAGTTAGCTCAGAGATAACAAATCATTTGGTGAATTACACTTAATCCCTTCACTACAGGGATGCCATTTTTTATATTTTATTTGACAGAGGTCAGATTTTATTCACCTCAGAGGGTAACCCATACACAAAGGGTTATCAGACTATCTTTATTAACCCCTTCACTGTGGGAATGCCACTTTTGATATACAGTATTTTATTTGGCTAACAAAAGACAATTTATTCAGCTCAGAGGGGAACTCGTACAAAGGAGGCTAATTATGTTTATACAACCCCTTCCAGTATGGTGTAAGCAAAGGCAAAACCCTCACATGAAGGAACTGTGTGGATCAATCAGAACTTTTTTCTTTGTGCCCCCAGATGTGGGAGATCCTCCTATGGGGAGCTAACCTGATAGTGTGTTTAGACTGGGACTGAGAAGTATGAAAGTCTTGACAACCCAATTTTGGTTGCACCAAAAGCTGGGAGAGTCATGCATTCTGCTGACATGGCACTCATAATTTATTGTCTCCAACTTTAAATGGTTAACTGTTACGTCTTAAGATCCTTTTTAGAATTAAGATGAAATTAACCAAACCAATGCCTGAATTACAGAGTATCCATGATGCCCAAGAGATAGCTTGGGGCTTACAGCTCAGGGCTTATGGCAATGAATTTTACCACCTAGTGAAAGGTGTTAGCCATAATTACTAGGACCCAGATTCACTAACACTGCTGAGATACGAGTTCATAACTGCTGGGAGATCTGAAGTCCATGTGAATTAGAAGGGTGATTCACAAATGGTTCGAAACTTAGCTTTGATCCTCGTACGAACTCTAGCATTTTTTCATATATTGCAGACTGGTGGAAGTGGTGTGTATGTTTAAATTTTCTCCGCCAATCACTGTAACTGATATGGGTCTCCGGGTTAGAACGAGTTCCGGCTCCTGAGGACGCTAAGTCGGAACACATACCCTATAGTAGTACAGGGTGTCGATAAATGAGTACCCTGATTAAAACATGAGAGCAAACTGTTTTAGGATAATCATGGAACACCCTGTATATCATAGCCTAAGTCCTTTTATACATCTCGAATCATTTAATTTAAGAGAAAGGAAGAAATTTAATGACAAAATACGGGAAACTAAAAATTAAAGGTTAACGCTTACATTGAAACAGGCTGGCTTGCATGGTATGGGCATTTGTAGGAGTGACAGAGGCTTATTGGGATGAAACTGTTGATGGTGTAGATGTTAATAGGATTGGTTCTAAAAAAATCTAGTGAGGTAGAGGGAACTGGTTCTGTAGATGTTGCGGAGGTTGATGGGACTGGTTCTGTGGGTGTTGCAGAGGTTGACAGGACTGGTTCAGAGATGTTGCAGAGGTTGATGGGACTGGTTCTGTAGATGTTGCAGAGGTTGATGGGACTGGTTTTGGCTGCCTTTCGACTTTCTTTGAAAACTTTTCAAGGGATGGTTGAACTGAAACTTTCTTATTTTCATCATAAATCTCTCTGTAGTATCATAGACATTCAGTAATACCTTTATGAATCTTGCTGTGTTGGGATCTTGCTGTTCAAATTTAAACGATCCTTCTTCAATAAGCCTGAAACCTTCTGCCATTTCTTTTGTAATGAATCGCTTTGGTTCTGGAGTTTCAGCTTCCTCTACATCCCCTGACAAAATTTACTTCTCCAGTTTAATCAGGTCCTCATTGGTTAATTCTTCAGCATGACACTCAAAGAACTCTGTAACATCACCCTCATGAAGATTAAGCTGGAGTTGGTTCCCAAAGTCTACCACTGTCTGTGTTACTTCCCCAACATCGTCTTCAAAGCCCCTGAAATCAGGGACAAACTGTGGGCAGAGGTTTTCCAATCATCATTCATGTTGGTTTGTTTTACCTGCATCAAACTGCAATGTTTTTTTCACAGCATCATAAATGTTGTAGGACTTCCAAAATTCTTTTAAAGTCCTGCCCTCTTTTTGTTCTGTTGCCCTGATAGCTTGAGCAAATGTCCTTCTCAGGTAATATGCTTTAAATGAAGCAAAAACTCCCTGGTCCATCGGTTGTAAAATAGATGTTGTGTTTGAAGGTAGGAACACAACCTTAATGTTTGGATGAACATCGTCTATAAATGCTGGATGGCCAGGTGCATTGTTAAGTAATAAATCTTGAAGGGTATTGACTTTGAAGCACAATACCGCTCCATTTCAGGCACAAAATGATATAGGTACAGTGACCCCTCGGTTAACGAACCAACCGTTCCAGAAGGTCGCTGTTAACTGAAACCATTGTTTCAATGGGTTTTTGGGTAATTGGTTCCAGCCAAAAAATTTTAAATTCAACAAAAATGGTAGAAAGTTCACTTACTTTGAGAGTATGTAGAAGGCCCTGGATGTGATGATGATGATGGAAATTAGAATGGGGATGGAGAGAAGGAAGAAGAGAAGGCATTGGGGTGAAGAGAAGTCACTCCCATGGCACCATTTCACCCATAAAATTTTAGTTCTCTTGGTGTATTTCAAGATTATTTTCTTTAAATCAACACTGCACTGCATTATATATTGTCAATATGTAAACTATATTTCAAAATGACCAATAATTTGCTTAAACACAGAAAAAACGCTTTTAGTTGAAGAGAGTCTCAAGCAAGATGTTACCTCCAGTGAAAACAGAGAGAGACTAACAACGCCTGTCTGTGTGTGTTAAGAGGCTGATGGCACGCATTAAACTAGTCACTTTACCTTCAATTATGTTCAATAGTTAAAATGACTAAAAATTTAATATTAAACTTTTAAAATTATTGAATAGTATAAACTTCTTGATATTTACTAAAATAGTAAGGAATTTAAGCCCCAGAACCGATTAATGTATTGGCGGACGATACTAAAGCTGGTTGTTCCAGTCGAAAGTAAAACATGTTGAGGTCGGTTCAGAAGAAATTCGTTAACCGAATTGAAGATCCTTATGGAAGGCAGTTCATTAACCGAAATTTCGTTAACCGAGGCGTCAGTTAAACGAGGGGTCACTGTACCGGTCTTCAAAAAGGGCCAATGTCACCCAAGCCTTCTTATTAGATTTCCAGATAACTGGAAGTAATGCCTTGAAAACATCCTTCAAAGCTGTAGGATTTTCTGACTAGTAGACAAGCAAAGGTTTTAGTTTGTAGCTCCCAGTACTAAGGTCGACGTCTCCTTGGCAGCTTTATGCCATTGAGCATCTGTATATAATATAATCCCCTCTTACTACCACTACGATATCAAACCATGACAAACCAATTGATGCATCATCTCCTCACCACTTACCACAATCTCCCCCTACACCACCAGCTCCATGATCCACCACTACCTCTTATTATCACCACCTCAATCATAACTTTAGTAATGCTTTAGTCAGAGCAGATCAGCACAACATCCACCTGCCTCTCTCACTCATTCTATGACTGTCCTTCATGATACAATATTGTACAATAAAAAATACTGTATTGCCAAACAAGTAAATAAAGGCCAAATGAATGTTTAACACAGTCACCCTTTGAATACACTCCCTGCTTCACCCTAGTAACAGAGACCAGCTGGCAGGTACCTCCACCGACACCCTAGCAACGCTCCCCCACCTCTGCTACACTCTGCCCTCCTCCTCCCTCACTGAGCCAGCTAACTCGTATGCAAAGAAATGTATATTCCCTTTATGTGTTTGCCCTTAGGACAATTCTTTCTTTTACTTTTCTCACAATATGTATGTAGGACGGTGTGTGCATGTAACTAGGTAAAATTAATGAAGAAATTTACATATATCTACCTGAAAATATGAATTTAAAAACAACCATAACACCTCACAGCTTGGCCTAGTGGTTACAGTGATGAGTCTAACCTAACTACACTGCCATGATTAATCACTATTAAGCATTATTCTATCAGTAAGCGCTAATAGTAACAGTAAATCCAATGAAATATGGCAAGGGACGAGGAGAGTTACAACTGCAGGCGTACGTTGCCAGGCGTATGTTTGGGAGAAGTACATATCTTGTATTTTAGTCTAATTTGAAAACAGTGACGAGCTCAGTGATAAACAAATTATATAAACCAGGCATTTTCCTTTAATAACATAACAAGAAACACTGTATCATTACTAGAGTGAATGAAATAATATTCCCACACACACAACAATTGACAGCTCTGTGTGTGCACCTTTATGCTTGATATGTTTTATCCTCAGTATTTTGATTTGTTGCAATTATTTTGTCACAGAGCTTAGTACAGTATATTATTCTATCACCAAGCTTAGTACAGTATATTATTGTCACCAAGCTTAAAACATGATATATTATTCTATCACCAAGTTTATTTCAGTATATTATTCTATCACCAAGCTTAGTACAGTATATTATTCTATCACCAAGCTTAGTACAGTATATTATTCTATCACCAAGCTTAATACAGTATATTATTCTATCACCAAGCTTAGTACAGTATATTATTCTATCACCAAACTTAATACAGTATATTATTCTATCACCAAGCTTAGTACTGTATATTATTCTATCACCAATCTTAGTACAGTATATTATTCTATCACCAATCTTAGTACAGTATATTATTCTATCACCAAGAATGCAGTTTATTATTGTCACCAAGCTTAGTACAGTATATTCTATCACCAAGCTTAGTACAGTATATTATTGTCACCAAGCTTAGTACAGTATATTATTCTATCACCAAGCTTAGTACAGTCTATTATTGTCACCAAGCTTAGTACAGTATATTATTCTATCACCAAGCTTAGTACAGTATATTATTGTCACCAAGCTTAGTACAGTATATTATTCTATCACCAAGCTTAGTACAGTCTATTATTGTCACCAAGCTTAGTACAGTATATTATTGTCACCAAGCTTAGTACAGTATATTATTCTATGCCCAAACTTAATACAGTACAGTATATTATTCTGTCACCAAGCTTAGTACAGTATATTATTCTGTCCCAAGCTTAGTACAGTATATTATTGTCACCAAGCTTAGTACAGTATATTATTCTATCACCAAGCTTAGTACAGTATATTATTCCAATCGCTTAGTACAGTATATTATTCTATCACCAAGCTGTATACAGTATATTATTCTATCACCAAGCTTAGTACAGTATATTATTGTCACTAAGCTTAGTACAGTATATATTCTATCAAAGCTTAGTACAGTATTATTGTCACCAAGCTTAGTACAGTATATTATTGTCACTAAGCTTAGTACAGTATATTATTCTATCACCAAACTTAATACAGTACAGTATATTATTCTGTCACCAAGCTTAGTACAGTATATTATTCTGTCACCAAGCTTAGTACAGTATATTATTCTGTCACCAAGCTTAGTACAGTATATTATTGTCACCAAGCTTAGTACAGTATATTATTCTAGCATCACCGCTTAGTACAGTATATTATTCTATGAATAAGCTTATAAAGATATTATTCTTACCAGCTTAGTACAGTATATTATTCTATCACCGCTTAGTACAGTATATTATTCTGTCACCAAGCTTAGTACAGTATATTATTCTATCACCAAGCTTGTTACAGTATATTATTTTATCACCAAGCTTATTACAGTATATTATTCTATCACCAAGCTTATTACAGTACAGAATATTATTCTATCACTAAGCTTATTACAGTACAGTATATTATTCTATCACCAAGCTTATTACAGTACAGTATATTATTCTATCACCAAGCTTATTACAGTACAGAATATTATTCTATCACTAAGCTTATTACAGTACAGTATATTATTCTATCACCGCTTAGTACAGTATATTATTCTATGACCGCTTAGTACAGTCTATTATTGTCACCGCTTAGTACAGTATATTATTCTATCACCAAGCTTAGCAGTATATTATTGTCACAGCTTAGTACAGTATATTATTCATCAAGCTTAGTACAGTCTATTATTGTCACCGTTTAGTATACAGTATATTATTGTCACCAAGCTTAGTACAGTATATTATTCTATCACTAAGCTTAGTACAGTATATTATTGTCACTAAGCTTAGTACAGTATATTATTCTATCACAAACTTAATACAGTACAGTATATTATTCTGTCACCAAGCTTAGAACAGTATATTATTCTGCCACCAAGCTTAGTACATATATTATTGTCACCAAGCTTAGTACAGTATATTATTCTATCACCAAGCTTAGTACAGTATATTATTCAATCACCAAGCTTAGTACAGTATATTATTGTCACCAAGCTTAGTACAGTATATTATTCTATCACCAAGCTTGTTACAGTATATTATTTTATCACCAAGCTTATTACAGTATATTATTCTATCACGCTTATTACAGTACAGAATATTATTCTATCACTGCTTATTACAGTACAGTATATTATTCTATCACAGCTTATTACATAACAGTATATTATTCTATCACCAAGCTTATTACAGTACAGTATATTATCTATCACCAAGCTTTATTCCAGTAATATATATTATCTCATCAAGTTTATTACAGTATATTATTCTATCACCAAGCTTATTGCAGTATATTATTCTATCACCAAGCTTATTACGGTACAGAATATTATTCTATCACTAAGCTTATTACAGTACAGTATATTATTCTATCACCAAGCTTATTACAGTACAGTATATTATTCTATCACCAAGCTTATTACAGTACAGTATATTATTCTATCACCAAGCTTATTACAGTATATTATTCTATCACCAAGCTTAGTACAGTATATTATTCTATCACCAAGCTTAGTACAGTATATTATTCTCTCAACGAGCTTAGTACAGGAACACATCCCCCCTTTATAATATTAATTTATATGGGAAAAATGGTTTTGATGAATGTAATTCACCTAACAAAAGCAATTTAGTGGAACCTAGCCTGTAGTGTCATCAACTGCATACTGGACACTACCACTAAGGAAAACTCAACGCTATTAACACAGACGATGCATTGGGAGTCGTGGGACCACATGAGATGACCTTTTCACTCGACCAATATCTAGCCAGAGTATATCCCTACATGGGAATCTGCAGCACCATAACAGTAGGTGGTCATCAATTTGTAGAGGGTCTAAAGGATCCCTGAACATCCTACTGATGCTTGAAGTATGTCTGGCAGCTCTGTCTCTTTTGATATAGATTCTATAGAATTTTTTTTTTTTTTTTGTCCCGTGAGGGGGCTAGTTTATTGAGCACCTCACATCCTGTGCAAGGTGAAGCGCAAAAGCGTTTACAGCACCCAGCTGAGAAGCATGCGTAGTTTATGCTTGCCTTCATGCATTATAGGCAAAAGCCTGAGGGGCCATGGGTTTTGTCAGCAAGTTACATAAAGTGACAGAATGATGATGGTTCCCGTTACAATTCATCTGTTTATGGCAAAACGTGGCAGGTCCCTAATAATGTCAAGTGACAGGCCTGTCTCGAGGAGGGATATCTGGTTAGGGAGGGAAGAGGTGTTGGTAATGGATTGTATAGTAGAGAAAAATTTGGGTTACGTGACCTTATTTCCACCTTACGAGACCTTCGGAGCCACCATTAGTTAGAAGAAAAAGTCAGCCGTTTTAAATCGAGTAGCGGACTTTACAACTCTTTAGTGCATAACCACCACAGGAGATATTTCCTCCTTAAGCACTAATGAAGTTCATAACCCTTTAGTAAATCTTGGCCCAGTACAGTATTATCAAGTTTATTCTGTGATCATCTAATAAGATGAATTCACTTAACACTATAAAAATTGTAGGCACAGAACCTTTTCAAAAGGATTATCTATGTATTTTACCTATTAACAGTTTCTAAGTGCAATACGTTTTAATAAAGGTAGAGTTTCAGTATAATTTGGACATGTATAATTTTTTATTTTACTAATTTTGTGGTATTGTTACATTTTCATCTTAATCAGGTGGAATGATGACATGACATAAACATGTTTGCCATTGGTGCACCAATTGTCAGTTTTTTCTAAAACTACTAATCTGATCAATAATATTTAGTAACTTTTGTTGACAAAGTCCAAATGGACCATGTAATGTTGGCATGGACTGACATAAACACACTGCACTAATTTTGCTATGAATTGGACTTTACGAATTCTATAGTTTTCTCTCAATGACTAACCACAGACCAGGCAGGTTCAAGATTGTCCAGATTATTGAGGGTTTGTTGTACATAATTGGACATATTCTTTGGGGATCCACAAATAAAAATCACAATTATATTAACCAGTTCAATTTACAATGTCATTACTATATAGTTTCTTTATCATTCATGATTATTTGCAGTGGCACTTGATATAATTAGTTATTTCCTTTCAGGTCCATGAAGGCATCACTCATTTCAAATTATTCCAGAAAGCTCTAAATAAGGTCCAGTATCCTGAGGAAAATGTTATTCAGTTTCTTCAGCCTTTGAATTATGGCCCATCTTTAGTGAACAAGTAAGATTTGTATGACAACTTTTGTAATCTTGTACAGTATTTGTACAAATGAAAAATTATTCAGGTGGATAATGTTTTCTGTAAATAATGAATGCATTGTAGCAGAGACAGCAGAATTTTCCTGAAAGTTGGAGGGCCAGAATTTAATCTATTCCATTGGCAGTGGTCAATGCCATTACTGTGAGCAAGCTTAGTACAGGGTGATCCAGGAATATCAAAGGGGGGAGTCAAGAAGAACCTTCTGGGTGGGGAATATGGCGAGCATAGCAAGCCTACCCAGCCTACCCCATAATTTTTTTTTTTTTTTTTTTTTTTTTTGTGTGTGTGTGTGTGTGTGACTAATATCATGGACATTTTGAGGCCATTTTAAAGCCATGTGCACATGATATTAGGAGATATTCTGGGGTCAATAGTACAGTAATTACTTTTTACTCTAAAAAAAATGAGTATAATTCTGCATTAAAAAAACAGATTATAATTTTCTGTTGAAAGTTCAGACCCCCCCTTGGATCTGCCCCTGTAGTGGTCTGTGATACCTTGAAAATATATGAATCCACCCACACACAATACATCCATATGTTACTACTGTACTAATCACCAACCTTATCCCACTAAAAAATTTAAAATGGAAATATATGCTTTTAAAATAAAGGTAAACATTGATATTAATAGTAATTTATCTACACTTTGAAGTAAATTCAGTTTGTAAGGACTTTGGAGATAGTGAAGGATGGTGGTGATGGCCAGGATGAGGTGCAGGTAAATGAATGAAGGTTAAAATGACATCATTGTATAAGGGAAGAGTTTATATGAAGAATGTTTGACTATAGAAGGATTAATAAGCTTTAGGAAGTCAATATTGAATTCCACATTTTATACATATATTTCTCTTACAGATTCTCTGCTTTACGGATACGAGGTTTACTCTGTGTTCAAAACATGGCCAGTTTATTGGAACTTAGTGACATAGGAGGTACAGAACTCATGTATTCCACATGGTGGGACCTTGGCAGCATGGTGTTCCAGAATGCTTGTACAGGTGACCAACATAGATTATTATATATTTTTATTTTTTTAATTTTAATAACTTTTCAGTGACAGAAAATTTATTTGGGTAATTAAGTTGTTCTCTTTTGGATGAACCTGTGATATAATACAGTATTTTCTCGACTTAACGATCTAATTCGAGTCAACTCTGTTCGTTAAATTGAAATTGCCTCTAAATCAATCTTTCCATTATATTTGCTTTAGATACCGAACTATTTCACTAAATTGAGCGTGATTCCACTGTTGTTCACTGCTACCTCTCGGCCAACTAACTACACTGGAGCACCTTAGCTTACGCCTTATTCAAGACATCTTCAGAGGCAACTAAATTTACAGGGACAGAGAGCCTTATATACATTGGGTGACCTTACATAACACCAGGTCAGGTCAATAACATGGAATCCACTAATCCTCCACTGCAAACAAAAGAAGAGCTTATAAAAGAATGGGCCCCACCAACTTTATTTACATCCACCTCAAATGCTTTCAAAGCATTTGAGGTGGATGTAACCTTAGGCCAGAGTTATTATTCTTTATTTAATACCTCAACACTACAACATCACACACACAACATCTAGAGTTTAAATTCTTTTGTGTGAGACACTGAGTTGGAGGGAGGCAGGCTGGCACTTCGCTTTTCACCAATGATTTTATTTGCCTATATTCATTATCATATTCTTGTGATGTTTTATCATTAGGAATGACAGAGGCAGGGGTGGGATTGGGAGACGAACATTTTTCAGGGGTCGCGGTCAGTTTTCCCCCCCCCAAGGGTCTCCATCCTTCCTCCACCACCAGTCTCCTCCTCACTCCATCACACAGTTGCAAATATGTTACAATATTCTCTATGTACAGAACTAAACAAACAATTTATTTGAAATACTCTGTAACATTCAATCCCATAATATCCTGACCACTGGGATTAGTTATACAGGCTTTTACTTGTGAAAAAGCCATAATTTTTAGCAAAACATGACTGTGCTGTAATATATAAATTATACTCAAATGTAAGAAGTTAATTACTAACAATTTTATGATGAGTGCAAGCTATGGGATATTTATACTCAAAATAATCACTACAGGTATCTTGCAAGGATTCCAGCAATGTAAATTATATTCTGCAATGTAAATTATATTCTGCTAAGTTAAGTTTGTGACAGTTTATAAGAGAAAGACTTTAAGCCTAAAAAAGTTCATCCTGTAAAATCCTTATCACCGCCATCTCGCTTCCCCTGCTGACTGGGAGGAGAGGGAAGGAGAGGAGGGTGTTCACACCCAGCAAGGGAGATTAGGTGTCAGTGGAGGGGGGGGTCAGGGACTCAGGATTATACAAGACAGGAGTTTTGTTTTTCACTTATATAATGTCACTGACTTGACTTAGCAGAATATAACTTGCATTGGTGGAATTTTTGTAAGCGGTTGGTGGTAGCAAGTTAAATATCAACTCTTGAGGAGCACTTGGCATCACTCATTTTCACTCCTTCTCTCTAATCACCCACACCTTTCTGCTTTCTCACTCCAAATTTTAAAATGTTATGTAATGTAATGTTGAAGGGATACAACTTTGCTCATTTACACTTATCACGATCTCCCTAAAAATACTTTAGGTTTCGTGTTTATTCAAGACATCTTCAGGTCATGAGACCCACTAATCCCCAACCCAAGAAAGGGTGACCTGACATTCCATCAGGTCAGTAATATGAGACCACTATTCCCCCACCCTACCTCCACCTGACATTGCATCAGGTCAGGTCAGTTACATGTGACCCACTAATCTCCCACAGCTCCATGGGAGTGGAAAATACCAGTCTTTGCTGTAACACTCAGCTTCATTCACATCTGTATCATATAGATTGTTAGTGTTTAAATATATTTATTTAACCAAACTTTTAGATAAACTATTCCCAGCACCCAGAAACGTTCTGGGGAAGTGGGCTAGTGTCCATCTGTGCAAGATGCCTAGTTTAGACACTCGGAAACTTTTCCCAGTAACTGGAAAAGATTCCGGGGATAAGGAATTTTTCCGAGTTTGAGAACATCGTCTGGTTGTTCTTAAATCTCTCATCCTTGGAAGTGTTCTGCACCAATTGTTCCAGCTAATGGGGATATCACTATATATATCCCACGAATAGCTTACAACTAATCACTGATATTGATTTTATTCTACCGTTTAAGATATTGTGAGTGTATGGTTGTTTTTACACATACAAACTGATGTAAGATTTTTTTATTATTTTTCAAACAGCAGCAAGTTGACTATCCCATTCATTTTTAGTAGGTTGTTAGTGAATAATTTGGATGTTCCACCATTGGCAAGTGTATCCAGTAGTGTATAGTGAATCCTTGTTATCTTTGGGATTTCATTTCAGAAGAATGATGTGGATACAAATAACTCTGGAAATATATGATTTTGGCCCATTGATTTTGAGAGTTGAGAGTCTTAGCTAACTCATTGAGTTTAGAATTTTGTGCTTCTGGACTATGTGCCAGGGGCATAGCTACATAAAGGCAGGGGTGAGACCTAAGGGGGCAGAAAAAACTTTTCAAGTGCATCAATTAACTACAAACCATTAAATTTTATAGGGTGGTAACATTGCTTCATTTTTGCCTTACTCATTCATGTAAACATTTGTTACTGATGGTTTTATGGTGTTACTACAGATAATGGACTTCTAGAGGCTGCAGCAGGTGCAATGAGAGCAATCATGGATCGGTTGAGCCAAGACAAGTGTGAAAAATTAGCTGCCATTACTCAGGCTGATTTGAAGGTTTGTAACCAACAGAGTTGGGCAGTAATGGATTTGAATATGTATTTAAGTAATTATTTAAATATGTATTGAAATACTGCATATAAATTATTTTTGGGGGGATATATTTTGTATATTATATTTATATTTTTTAATTACGTACAGTATACTGTATTGTACATATTTTGTAATACAGTAAAACAATGCTAAGGCAGACTAAGTGGGGGGGAAGGGGTGTCTGGGATAAGAGGTTGTCCACCTTAGAGCAAATGTTTCCCAAAAGACAGCCATTTTATACAAAAAATGAGTACAACACCAATGGATCCCATTTTTATGAAAGAAATACATATTTTTTTAATCAAAATTGATTTTAAAAAGTGATGCACATAAAGTAGTGTACACTTACAATTTTAGTTCAAGGATACCAAAAACTTTCTTAGGGGCCGGGTTTTTTTTTGCAATAATAATGCAAAAAATATAAATGGTACTTCAACCTACGGCGAATGTACTAAGTGTATGAAAACGATACAGATATAAAAATTACGGTACAGGAGCCCCCAAATTCACGGGGTTGGGTTCTCAAAATAACCGCAAATCGCCAAGTCTGCGAATAACATTTGTATACAAAGAAATGTATATTCCCTTTTATCTGTTTGCCCTCAGGACAATTATTTTTTTTTACTTCTTTTTACAATATGTATGTAGGATGATGTGCGCATGTAACTGCGTAAATATAAATGTAGGAAGCACGTATATCTACCCGAAGATACGAGATGAAAAACAACCATAACACCTCACAACTTGGCCCAGTAGCCTGGTGGTTACACTGACGAGTCTTACCTGGCTACAATGCCATGATTAATCACTATTAAGCACTGTTACATCATTAAACACTAATATAACAGTAAATCCAGTGAAATATGGCAGAGAAAGGGGGGAGTTACAACTGCAGACGACGGCAGAACTAGCGGTCACTCTCTCACTCCCAGTTGCCAGGTGTACGTATAGGAGAAATGCATATCTTGTAATCTAATTTGAGAAAGGTGATGGGCACAGTGATAAACAAATTATATAAACCAGGCATTTACCTATGATAACATAGTAAGAAACTTTGTATAATTACTAGAGTGAATGAAATAATATTCCCCAAAACAACAATTGATAACTCGGCACCTGTGTCCCGCGTGCTGACGCTTGTCCCTTGAAAGTTTGGCTCTGGCGGACGTATCCGAGGACAAATTTTGTAGGTATATATATTTTCAAGTACTATTGCAAAACAAAAATTTACATGAGAATTTAATTTTGTTTTCCTGTAACTGTTCTAAACTGTACTGTGTTATGCTCATTATGATTCATGTAATTATGGTGCCTTTCATTGGATTGACTTTGTTGCAGATAGGAAACCTCAAATGACATTAACAATAATAAACTCTGAAAATAGAATGTACAGTTCCGGAAATGTATTCCTACTCACCTTGTAGTAACCCGTGTCTCCAAACGGCCAACCAATATGACATTTAGCAAACCTCTCCACCAAGGAGGTATTTGTATACTATACATACACCTCTACACTAGCTTGCAGAGGCACTGTCCACACTGCTATGTAAAGTAATTTCATATTTACTGAAAGTACAGTACATAAATGTAACTGTAATCACTATTTATGTTTTAACACTGTGTTCGTGGCTGATTGTGTCCCAGTACAATAATGTACAGTACTGTACTGCACAACACAAATTGTATGTAAAAAACAGCTGGAAGCAAGGAAACAACCTTATACAATGGCAGCAGAATGTGAACTAAGCAAACGGGCTGGCCAAAAGTTACCCAAGCAGCGAGATCACCCACACGCCCGGCATGATGGAATCTCTCGGAACTCCGGGAAAATTTGTTCCTTTGCCTGGAATGGTGAGTGGATACAAAATTTTTCTGGAAAATGCAGATAATATCCTCGGAAACTCGTTTCCCTGCCTGGAATGGAGAGAGTTTTCCCGGAAGGCTCAAAATTCATTCCGGCTATTGGAGAGTTCCGGCACTGGAGATTCCGGCCAACGGGGAGATTACTATACCTGTCCATGTACAGTATATACAATTTGCACCAGCTGAAAAAAAAATAGCTAGTACATATCTAATGACATTAAACAAAAGCAATTAATGTTCACCAACCCACTAGTACTTTGTTATATTCCCCTTCCTCTTCATACACTCGTTAAGTCTTTTGGGACACTGTCTGCGAGGTTCTGGAGCATTTCTTGTTGCAAATTCCCCCACATTTGCCTAATAGAAGCTTAGAGTTTTGAACTGAAGTAGTGTCCACGTCACAGAGTCAGCACTACAATGGACTACAGTCTTTGAAATAGGGTACCTGACAGTCCTGTATCCACTCTTTCACAAGATGAGCATTATGTCAGGGAGATCCATCCTGCATGAGTAAGGCCCCATTCTTTTCAAATGGGTCAGGTAGCATGGTACACAAAGGTTCTAGATAATCAAATCTCATCATTACATTTTAGGTAACACAACCAACTCCCTCACCATACCATTAAAGATGATGGATGTTTAACAGTCTTTACTGAGTACTTTAGGAGGTGTGTTACTGCATGATACACACCCCCTCCACTGTCCCAATCACTGAGAAAGTTGCCTCAACGCTCCACAATACTGTTCACCAGGTCTGCTCATCCCACTCACTGTACTTTTTGTAGAAATCCATGTGTGCAGATGCGTGGTATGAAAATGTTGAAAGCCACTTTAGCCAGCATCTCTCTCTCTCTCTCTCTCTCTGAATTTTTTCTTGATTGTATATATGTACAGTATTGTATTGTACACCCCTATGTGTGTGTGTGTGTGTGTACACACAAAAACAAATGCAACCACTGTAAATAATACAGTAGGGTCGGGATATATAGCAATTTAAAGATTTTTTTTTATATCGCAACTCCCAAAATTATCTGCATTTTCTCAAACATAGAAATTCTAAAATACGGTACAGTAAAAGTAATAAATAATGCAAAATTAATAAAGTTACTGTGCACTTACCTTTAATGTAGGCAGCTGAGTGCACGCAGGGCCTCAATAATTTTTTAATTAAGCATGTAGACTACTATTGTACATTAATTGGATGAAGCAGAGGAGGAGACAGGGCTGGGTGGGTCATCAAGTTCACTTTCTTCAGACAGGCTAACATACTTGCTTGTTGAAGGTATTGGATCATCTTTAGGGAGTGCAGAGGCAGCAGTGGGGGACTTCTTAAAATGTATGTCCAATTTAGACTGCACAGTTTGCCTTTTCTTTTCATTGTAAATCTCCCTGTAGCAAGTCTCAACATTTTGATCCATTTCTTCAAACATTTGCATCCCCTTATTAATAGTAGCAAATGCCTCTGCCTTGTCCTTAAAAATTTTTGATATCGTCGAAAGAGAGAAGCCAAAGTCGCGTGAAATGGTTGCTACCGTTTTCCATTTTCATATTGTATTATTATTTTCATTTTCATCTTAAAAGTAATTGACTGTCTCCTTTTCTTATCAGCACCACGAGAACTCTCACTTTTACTCTTGCCAGTCATTTTAAAGGGAATTAGAAACAAAAATTTTGTCAGTACACAGCGCGATCATTAACAACAACGACGGCCAAACACCAACTGAGCTAGCTACAACATGGATGCTGTACACCACGAGGCGGCCCAGCCCATGCTGTCGTACAGGATGGAAACATTTCGGAACTAGAAAATACGTATTTTTAAAAATATTTTATATGACTACGGCGGTCGTATGTCCGGGTTGTCGTAAGTCAAGGAGTACCTGTATAGTGTATAGCGATAAATTTACTTATTTCGCAATGGAAATCGGGCAGTAAATATTTCAAATTTAACACCATGGCAAACAAATGCGTTATTTGCTCACCAGAGGCGCCACGCGGGCTGCTCACCCACGCATTCACACTCGCCCCGGTCACCAGCACAGTCTTTCTGAGTGAATGACGAGTTAGCAGCCGACTGCTGCAGCTTACAACGTCTAAGGTGAGTGTAAATGGGTTGCTAGTGACGTGAAAAGTGAAGTGAAGAGAATGGAAAGCTTAATAGAAAAGATTTAATACTGTAACTAATACTTTTGGTTTGTTTGTTTATGTAGGTGTGGGATTGTCAAGTGAGGGTGGCAGTGTGTCATCTGCAGTGAGGGTGGCAATGTGTCGCCTGCTGCCTATTCTAGTGTTCCCGGGATGGTGTGTCGGCTGTTGAGTCTGGTATTCATTGATATTGATAATGAAACAGCCTGTGTTTCCCAAATCTAGTGTTCATTGGTGCTTTAGTTAGTCAGAAAATGAACTCATTAAGTCAAGTTTAGTCATTTTTATTGGCCTCCAGAACCTAACCCTATTTTCCCCACTGATTACATGTAATTATATATCGCTATTCAGTATACAGTATAGCGAACATCATTGGACCTTATCTCGCAATATATCCCGACCTTGTTAGGGAAAAATCCTCTCACAAAAATATGTTGAGTCTACCCTAAAATCTTCTCCATGCTTTGTTATTAATAAAGTACAGAGTGGACTTGAGGGTAGACTCAACATTTTTAATAAATTTTCTTCTGATAACTGTATTTGTGAGAGGATTTTCCCATTATTATTTATTTGTATATGTTTTGTGTCTGTGTTCACACAGACACACATATATACAATACAGGTAAAAGAAATAATTGTCCTAAGGGCAAACACTTAAAGGGAATATACATTTCTTTGTACAAAAGTAAAAATGTACCCCGCTGGTCAGCAAATGTTATTCGTGGATTTGGCGAAGGCCATTTTGAAAACCTGACCCACGTGAATTTGAAGGGCATGTTGTACTATAAGTGTCACGTGTTTCGGTCACGGTCAGTTCATGTTGGTCAGTCGTGAAGTGTACAATGGTCTACTGTGCAAGCTTTTTCTCACATATTTTTCCATCATTGCCTGGGCCAAGCACCTACATGTGGTACTGTACTGTACTTAGAAATATTTTAATTTTGATTGGGGCAGATAATGTAAACATACAGTACCGTTGTTTATTTGTTCTTTTCCCTATTATTTTGAATTATAGAGTTTAGCTGTACTGTACAGTACACAAAACACCTGTGGTCCAAACTATTAGAAAAAAAAGCTTTTGTGATCAAATCGTGGTTTAGTTGACAGTGTTCTGTTGGAACTCTTTCCTCATGATTTTTTTTTTTTTTTTTTTTTCTTTTAAGAAGCTGGTATTCTTACTGAATTGCTTCCTTGAGGGTTGTTCTTTATTGGGGGGTCTACTCTTGTTTTCACAAACAAACCTTTAATCAAACTCACCCTGTCGAGTTTTATATTTCTTGCTCCAAAAGTAACAAATATGGAGTTGTATTATGAACACATTTCTTTAACTCTGTAAAAAAACAAAAACATATTCTTTAATTTTTCAGTTAATCTTTGAAGCTGGCATAACATGCACGATAGACAGTGTCAGAGCCAACCTCGCACGCATGGTAGGGACGCTGGGATGTCTTATTGTTACACAAAATACAGAAGAGTCCCTGAATTCTGGTGCAGTCTTTGATGTCCTAAATACTGCTACTGAGTATTTACTCAAGGTAGGTTTACAATACTTTTAGTAACTTTTCTGATTTAATAGTATTCGCTTTGTATAATTCATTCAGGACCAGCCAGTCTTAGGTGTAGCAGACTGGATTGCTGTGAAGGGCCTCAATCTTTCTCATGGGTCTGAAAACTTAAGCCCCGGAAGGATAAATTGCAAGTAATTTTAGTCTGATTAAGATTGATGTCAATTGAATCCTTTCCAATATACATTACATTTAAAGTTGGATGGCGGATTAGGCGGAAGAGGTGACTAACACAGGAACCCAACAACTACACCGGCGGATGAAGGCAATGCAAGATGGATAGACTACAAAGGTGAAATCAACACTGGCCATTACAACTCCTTCCCCAGTTGTTGCAGCTACCTTCACCACTGGATTAGGAAAGGCTGGAGAGCCAAGATGTGGTTGCAGCCTGCGCTTGTGCCTCACCACATAAATCAACTCACGTACAGCCATCATCCAGCTTATCATAATTTTTATCATCATCAGAACACCTAATCCCCCAAAAGTCCTATGGCATTAGACAAGGGGTGATGGTTTAAAGGCAAAGATGACTGCCAGGAGTCTCGAATCACAACTCTGCATGTGGGCAGCTTAGATAAGATGGTCGTTTATGCACTGGGATCTAAGCAGCAGTACAATCCATTCCTGTCTGTACGACTGAGCAACCCTTACCAGGAGCCACTGCTCGCCCCACATGGGAAGGGGCCTAGAAAGGGTACCCTAAACATAGCCTTCCTAAAAACACAACCTGACTGGGCAATTGCTCCCAGTAAGGTCATCCTAATGCTATCAAAAACATATCACAGATCAAAGCAAAAAAAACTATGTAACTTCTTGTGGTCGCTGCATGGAATGTCAGGACCCTTCTAAATACTGGCACAATTGAGCATCCTGAAAGAAGAACCGACCTTGTGGCAAAGGAGTTATGTATAACATCGACATAGCAGCCATTAGTGAGTCCTGGCTCTCAGACAAGGGTCGACTTACAGAGTGGGGATCTGGCAATACCATCTTTTGGAAAGGTAAGCCTGCTGTGGAGAGAAACCATGTTTATGGAGTTGGCTTTGCCATTTGCCAATCCATCCTACATAGGATAACTGTAATGCTTGTTAGGGTCAACTAATGCCTCATGGAGCTCCAAGTTCCACTCACATCATGCCTTCTTCATCAATGCATATGCCCCATCATTGGATGCAGAAGATGACATCAATGAGGCCTTTTATGCCAACCTTGACCAAGTGTTAGCCTCTATTCCCAGAGAAGATAAGGTTGTGCTCCTAGGTGACTTCAATGCCAGAGTTGGGAGATGCTGACTTATGGCATGGAACATAGGGAGAAACAGAGTGGGCAAGTGTGATTTCCAACAGCCTACTCCTCAATAAGTGTGCTGAACACAACCTCACTCTCACCAACACTGTTTAGGCAGGAGGACAAGTTCAAGGGTTTTTGGCAACATCCATGATCCAAACGATCGCAGGATGTCCTCATTACCCGAGCCATGCGTGGCTCAGACCCCTGTGACACAGATAATCAGAACCTGTGGGGGAGAAGGGGAATGACCGTGCTGATGCTGTGTCAAAACCAGCTGCTTCATGTCCTGTGGCACATCATTTTCCTTTACCTGCCTCTGATATAAAGCCAGCAATAAAAGCTGCCATCTGCTCAAGTTGGTAACGCAGGTGGGATACTGTTGGAGTAAACAAGCTCTGAGTATCCACCCTGCATTGGGTGCTTGGAGATATCAGGGAGTGTCACGCTGCCGGGACACTGCTTTGGCCTGCCTCCATATTGGCCACACATGACTGCTTTCTGGGTTTTTAATGGAGAAGGCGCCCCCTCCCCATTGTGATAACTGCATGGTTCCGTTGACTGATCAACACCTCATGGTGGAATGCTCCAGTCTCAGAGATCATTGTAGTAAGCACCTCTCCCAGTGTCGGGGAGGGGTGGATGGGTCTTACCTTCTCACTTTGATGCTGGGAGGGGGAGTGAGTAGTGTGGAGGATGTCCTCTCCTTTGTGGAAGAACCTATCCTACACAAGCTTTGAGGTTTGTCTATTAATTTTATTTATTTATTTTTTTAACTCAAATTCTATGTTTTTACATTGTTATTTATGTTTTTATCTTGTATTATTTGATTTTAGTCTTATAAGCCTTTATTTTAATTCATATACATGTGACCTTAGCTTTTGTGACGTCAGGGCTGTAATTACCACAATCACTCAATCAATCCTGGAGGAGAATATGTAGGAGAAGGAGGAAAATCCAAGATCTTAGAAACGCTTCCATCGTCAATATTTATAAGAACAAGGGAGACCGGTCAGACTGTGCCAACTATCGCGGGATCTCGCTGCTGTCCATAGATGGCAAGATTATCGCCCTAGTCCTCCTGAACAGACTTCTTCCGGAAGAAAATCCCAGAATCTCAATGTGCCTTTAGACATCATGTGGCACCGCTTACATTATCTTTGCTGCCCGCCAAATGCAAGAAAAGTGCAAAGAACAGTATCGGGACCTGTACATGGCCTTCATCGATCTTACCAAGGCCTTCGACTCAGTCAACAGGGAAGCACTCTGGCAGACCCTCAGTCATTTTGGTTGCCCACTAAAATTCATCGCCATTGTGAAGCAACTCCATGATGACATGAATGGCAGTGTCCTGCACAGTGGCACCCAGTCTGAGCTCTTCCTCATCCAAACTGGGGTAAAACAAGGATGTGTACTGGCACCAACTCTCTTTTTCCATTTTCTTGGCTGCCTTCCTTACTCGTTACAGTGCCAATTTAGCCGGCAGGTGGACATCCACTACCGGATGAAGGGACTTTTCAACATAAGACGACTCCAGACAGGAACAAAGGAGCCAGCCTCTTCCATCACTGAATTTCAGTATGCAGATGACCTCACCCTTGTCTCTCACACTGAACACGACCTACAGGAGATCCTGAACATCTACGCAGATATGCACACTTTGACCTTGAGATGAATGTACATAAGACTCAGATTCTCTTTCAGCCTGTCCCTGGTTCAGCCACACCTCCACAATCCATCCAGCTTAATGTTCCTACCCTCTCTAATGTTAGCCGCAAACATTCAGTATCTTTGGCTCCCAGTTGTCCACCACTGCAAACATTTATGAAGAGATTCAACATTGGATCAGTTGTGCCCAACCCCAGACTCCATACCTGTCTCTTCAGCAGTAGGGAGCTAAAATTATCTACAAAGCTATAATTATATTGATCAGTGGACCTTCCCAACCTGCTGTTTGGCAGCAAGACATGGGTCACATACAGGAGTCTATGTTTCCATCCTCCTAGTTCGCTGAAGATGAGAATAATTGCCAGTATTCTCGGTGACACCAACTGTAGGAGTATTGAGGCTACCATTATCCAAGAACAACTACGTTGGACTGGCCATTTTACCTGCATGGACAACAGTAGATTTCCAAAACAGCTACTTTACAGTCGCCTAACGAATAGTAAACGTAACGCCGGGCGGCAACAAAAAAGGTCTAAGGATAGTCTTAAGATAAGCCTAAAAAAGTGCCAAATCAACCCCCTCACTTGGGAAACGATCACTCCACACCATCACGCTTGGAGGAGCACCACACGAGGTGTCAATACTGTACTTTCAAGTGAGTCCGACTGCAAACTAAGGCTGCCGCCATCCTTCCTGCACTAGATGTAGCCCTCCACACGTACATCATCTGTGGATGGCCCTGCCGGTCCTATATCGGCTTCAGCAATCACCAAGCTCACCAATGAAGGTGCCATCTTTAATAAGTTGTATCATTGCATAATAGTTGGATGATTCCGAGTGACAGCAAAATAACAGTAGTAGTGTGTGTGTGAAGTAAAAACTTTTCTTCCAATGATTGCCATAAATATATCATTACAGGTAATAGTATATAGGATGATACCTGTAGTGATTATGATATTGCTGATTGCTCCTATAGCTATAGTGTTGCACAGTTGTTGTTGTTTTTAATAGCTCTGCAGTGTTGCCCCCCAGGATGGGCCTCAGTCTGTCTGTTTGAAAATGGTCACTATAAGCAAGGGTTGAATTAATCAAATTCACAGAGACATCAGTGATCCTTTCATTCTACCTCTGAAAATAGTTTGATGTTTGCAGTTGATAATGTAATTAATTACAATACTCAAATCTGTAATTATTTACTACTCCAATAACTAAATATGCCACACCTGGACAGTGGTAGTTTTACACTTTATAGAAGAAAATTCAAAATTTTTTCATAATAAAATATATTTACAACTAAAACTTTTTCATGTATCTGGCAATGTGGATCTCAGTCACATTAAAGTATCAATGATAATAGTCTCCAGGGGAGCTCCTACTTTTCCCATGTACATCCTAGTTTTCCAACATCCAAGTACCTTTTCAAAGGCTTGAGCAAATCATGAAGACTATGCAAGAACAAGCAATGATATTCAAGGTAAAACAGGAAAAAACACAATCACAACAAATTGTTCAGGAAGATTACCCACATTATGTCAAGGCCCTCTTCCTGCAGAAAATGGGCAGAAGGTTCTCTTTGAAATTAAGAAAATAAGGAGTATCCTTCATGCTACAGTGATAACTTGTGGCAGACAAATAATGTAAAGGGTAGCATCACAACCTTCTCAAATGGATTATCAATAGCTTTAATCTTTGAGAATTCTAACTTGGCACCACTATCAATAATGAATTCTTTCTGTACACTTTGCTTACAAAGGTAGTGTATCATAGACTCTTGTTCTTTTTTAGCTACCTCCTAATTTTATGATTGAGTCATCACAGTAAAATGATTGACAACATTGACAAATTTCATGATACAATACTTTACAATTATTTTCAGACATATTGCAGTGATTGAACCACTCAAATCCATGTGGCTTCACTTGAAAAGTCAGATCCAATGGAGGTAATGATGTGAGTAGGAATATGCAGCATTAATTTGGAATACAGGTAGATGCAAATATCATAAGATTTCCTTTAATCAGTTGAGCTTAGCAGTCAAAGGGTCAAACAGCATCTTGGCCCTATCTCAGAGGCGTCAAGTACAGGTAAGGCTATTTTGCAAGAGAAATGCATTATCTAATTTCAGTCATTCATCTTCAGTCTTCAACCATTAAATGGGATTTCAGGATTTGTATTTCCCTGTATTTTCGAACATAAAGAGCAATTTTATTTTTTAGGTTGGTGCCACTGATAAGGAGCTGTGGGTTTCTGCTGAGGCCTTGGATGTTATTATTGATCTCTATTCTGATGACAAAAATCAAGCTTCCACCATGTACACTTGGTGGACAGATTAAAGGGGATCCAGCCACATTTCAAATCAAAGGTATGTATTTTATAAAGTACTGGACAGTTAAGTATCTGTTAACTGAAAAGTATGGGACCAAGAAGCTTCCATAAAATGGATAATAATATAAAGTGAAAATTATCATGAACATCTGTCCGCTGAAAGTACTATATTTATCTTATGTACAAAGAGTAGCTCCTTCGACACTCAAACCATCTTCTGTGTGATGTGACACAGTTCAGCCAGGCAATCACCCAGCTGACTTACATCAGGGGGAGGAGAGCGAGAGCCCACTGCCTCCACACACAAACGTTCACTTACCAAACATATACACCCATGCTCTTCATTTTTATTATTTCAGGGTTTTATATTTTATTTTATTTATTTATTTTTCAATCGAGCACGGACGAGTGATAAACACACTAAGCTCAGAGATATGTTGGGTGGGTTGGTTTGACTGGAGTATTGGGGAAAATGCTTTGATTGATTAATTATTTCCAACCTATTTATTTATACTGTACAGTGATCCCTCTGTTAACGAATTACCTCCCATAAGAATATTCAGTTCGGTTAACGAAATCCCACGAAATCGTGTCAACATGTTTTCTCCTGCTCACCAGCTGTAGTATTAGTCCGCCAATACAGTAATCGGTTTTACGGCTTAAATTCATACCATTTGAGTAAATATCAAGAAGGTTGTACTATTCAATAATTTTCCAAGTCTTATATTAAAATTTTCAGTCATTTTAACAATTATGTAACATAATTGAAGTAACAGGAACTGTTTTTAGCTACCAAACAGTCACTTGACTCACCCAGAATAGGCGTCAGTTTGTGTCTCTGCTCAGTGAGGAAGCATCTTGCTTGAGACTCTTGAACATAAACTATTTTTACATTTTTGCGTACAATTATTGGTCATTCTGAAATTTATTTTACATAATGACAATATATAGAGCAGTTTGTTTTAAAAGAAAATAATCTTGAATTACACCAAATGAACTTAAAATTTTATGGGTGAAATGATGGCATGAAGCATGGGGTAATTTTCTTCCACCCCACTGCCTTCTCTTCTCCTTCTCTTCCACCCCATCATTCCAACCCCCACTTTTAATTCCCATCATCATCATCATCAACCAGGAGGCCACACCTCAAAGTGTGTACTGCATTATTTTTAGTTTGTATGTTTCAGGAGCTGAACCATTGCTCAACCCCATTGAAACAATGGGTTTAAGCAATGACGACCTTCTGGAGCGAATTGTGTGTTAACCAGGAACCACTGTATTCTCTTCTGTGGGTTGATCCTGAGGAGAACCACGTCATTTTTATATATTACACATTCTTTTTAATTCTCAAGGCTGCTACCACCCAGACTTTTATTTAAAATATAACACCAACACTAAACCCTTCCAGTTAACTTGGTAGTGGACATGAGGGAATGAACGGTGATACACATATTATATTAATCATCTTAATCATTACAGTAAGACCTCAGATATCTGTAATCCCCCTTTCCCTCCTCCCCCCTTTCCCTCCTCCCCCATTCCTTCCTTCCTTCCCTCCCACGATCGCACACTAACCACCTGGGACTTTAGAAATGTTTTTATTATAGTTATATTTTTGACCATATGACAATAATTTTATTTTTATTTTGCACAATCTCTATGAACAATTGTGTGTAACACAGTGAAAGAAATAAAAAATATGTATAGCTGCTCAAATATGAGTTGAAAAATAACAATAACACAGCTTGCCTGGTATGAAGAAAAGTGACATCTAACTTGGCAATCTGCCAGGTCCACACATGTACAGTCTCGTTCAAGATTCTTCAAACACTACTGGAGACAGCTGGCAACTCATGGCCGTTTGTTTACTATAGTACGTAGTATAATATAATGCGAAACAACAAAGCCCAAAAATTAAATTAAGCAACGGATAACTAAGTAACCAATCACCGATTGCTTTTCCATTTATTCATAATTTTTACTACGCATTATATAGTAAACAAACAGCCTTGAGTTGCCAGCTGTGTCCAGCAGTGTTCGAAGAATCTTGAACGAGACTGTACGTTCGTGTAAGGAAAATTAAAATAAATCTTTGTTTTGTATATAAAAAAATTATTTATTTTGTATAAATTTATTGTTTCTTTGTCATTTTATATGTTATATGAGTTATTTAGACATTATTTAATCATTACAGCAGCAGGATATAAAACTTGTTTTGTCTCTTCAGCGGCTTAGGAAAGGAAACTTTTTCCCCATATGTTATTAATATCAGTATACGATAGATCATTTAGCGATGGTTTTTTGAGGTCCCTAACCCCATTGTACAGTAAACCCTTAAACTATGCGGGTTTAAACAAGCAGACCTTGCCCCTCCATGGATTGCACATTGGGTTGCATGGGGAGCAAGGGAGGTTGTGTACAAGCGTCTTAACAACTTCCACTACTGGCCACGAGAGTTCTCTACAGTGGCATGGAAGAGTTCCACTGCATCTTAGAGAGACAGAATTCACACTCATGTTCTTCATATTTCTTATTTAAAGTTTTATATTATATTTTCCATGTTTCTAAGCTACATTAGAGTATCGAAATTATTTTTTCACGGCTTTTATACTGTAGTAATATCTCCGTTGGCTGGAATCCCTCAAACCCGAAACTCTCCGATAGCAGGAATTGAAATTTTCTTGGAAAATCATTCCCAAAGTAGGAATTTTTCGGAAAATTCCGGCTTTGGGAACGATTTTCTGGAAAATTCTGAGACAGTTTTCCTGATACACGGAAAATTCGGGTTGGGAAGTTTTTCCGTTTTGAGAGATGAAAATCGGGCGCATTTTCTGGAAATTCCGAGAACATTTTTCCGTACCGGAAAATTCCAGGGATGAGGGTTTTTTCCAGCTTTGAGAGAGTTGTCTCGTTACCCAGCAATCTCTGCCCTGAACTGCTCTGCACCAATTGTTCCGGCTAATGGAGATACCTGTATCACTGTATTGTGAATGTGACATAGAGTGGAATTATTTTCGCATTCCCATTTCAGCTGTAAGTGATGGAAGTAAAGGAGAAAAATCTTTATAAATTTTCTCTTTAGGCAAAATTTTTTGCTCATTTGAAAGAATAGATACAGTGAAGATTTGAATTGAATTTTGAATTGAATTGAAACAGTTTATTTAGCCAGAAAAACACAGATACAGAGTGGATGATAATAATAGCAATATTAACATGGCTGAGCCAGTTGAGAACCTGTGCTCTCTTTTAGGCACCTGATATATACTATACATTTATCTCAAGGAAGTATTATGTAACATTTAGTAACATCTGGAATAGTACAATAGCATGCTGGTAATAAGAACATCTCATAATGTTACCACGGTTATCACTTCAATATTTATTTATTTATGTATTTTTTTTTACATTTATATTATAAGAATTATACGTCAGTTACAGTGGAATTGGAAAACATATATATAATGGGGAAGCAGTACAACATTGGTTGTATAGTATTAAGGTTGAACAACAGGACAGAGCTGTCAGGATTATGTCTACCATAGTTGGCAAATATATTTATTGCAATGGTAATTTCTTATCTATTTACATGATAATTTCCGGTTACTTGTTTTGATGGTACAATAAGAGCAGGTATATATAGTAGGTATTACAAGGAATATCAGTACTTCGACATTAGATGCTTTTTAAGAGATGATTTAAAGGAAGGGAGCGTAATCTTTGCTCTAATGGGTGTGGGTAAGTTGTTCCACACCATCACACCATTTAGTTTAGATTTTTTGTTTTAAGGAATGTGGGACTGTCATCTTTTCCTTTTGTAGTTGTGTCTTCTTTGCCTTGGCCTTAAACATTTTCGTGTTTGTCATAGAACTAATGCATGTGTGGAGTTGAAAGATTATAATTCATAGTCAGGTTTGGCTATGTATCTTTGTACAATGTTTTTCTTTGACATTTTTTAATTTTATAATTCTTTGTAACTCCCATGTCTTCAATTTTAATTGTGCATTGCCTAATAATTAATATATACAATGTTTATCATTACACTAGCATCAACAGGAGAAGAAGAAACTGGGTGACCACCGAGCTTTGGTCTTGACCGTAAGAGACAACCTTTTTGCTTTCATCAAGTACAAAGGTCCCAGAGCTGCCAAGCATAGAAAATCTTCTTAAAGCTGTTAAATAATGCTCTTATTTATTGAAAGTGGAATGGTTGAATTTGTTCTGAATAATGAACCTTAAATTGTACAGTACATATTTTAATTGGCAACAGAAAAGTAACCATGCAATGGAAGTTGTTTCCTTACAAATAATTTGTGTCAGATGTGACAGTAGAAATATTGTTTTAAGGGACTTGATACTCATTGAACAAGACTTGTTCAGGATATTCTTGGCAATATTTGTCCATTGTAAGCACAGTTTTACATCATTAGTTTGCTGCTAAATGAATTACGGTATGGTCAATCCACTATTCATTATTTCATCATTGAAATATTTTTGTAAGGTTATTCCCTGTGATATATATGTTTCATTAGATCATTGCATGAAGTGTCTTAAGTTACTCAATGAGAAACATGTTTAAAAGAACCGGGTAACACGTCGTAAATTGTCTTCTTGTGTTTTCTTATGTATGGAGGGAAGGGCAGTGTTCACAATGCTTATAATGTTCATTTAGTTTACCTTATTTTGCTTGTACAGCACTCTTTACTTTATTGTCTAATGCTTGGCTTGGGCACTTCATGTTCAACTTATGATGCCTACTGGTAGAAAACCCAGGAATCGCCTTTCATGGAAGTCATTTTACTCCATTCCTTCACTGCAAGAAAAAGGATTTCAGAGCTCCATGCTCTAAGGAGAGGCAATAGCTTCATCCATTTTAACCCTTCTAGCCTGTGTAGTTGGCCTGAAACTCTTGTGTAAGAATAATACTGTTTTTTTTTTCTTTTCTTTTTTTTAACTTGGTACTAGCATTAGTTTCCACGCTTGGAAAACTGAGGGTGGTTCTCGCCATTCACTTTTCATTAAAGGTAGTGTTTTGTTCTGACTGGAGAGTTGCATTTAGTTTTACTTTGTATTCATTGGTATTGAATAATAGTTCAGGGTGTGGAACAATAGAGCTTCTCTTGATTGACAAAATTATAAAATTCTTACAACCAGAAATCAGGTCTGTGAGGCTGATTCTTGGTGACAAGTTTTACAGGGGGCTTCTTAATTTATATTAGCATTTGAGTTTGTTTTCTTCGCTCCTTTTATCTGGGAAGCTTTGGATACATGAGTTGCCCAAGCCAGGTGTTACTTTATAGATGTAGGATTGATCTTGAAATCCCATTATACAACCAAGCCTGGATATGAGTTGTTACCTCCTCAACCCCAAAGGATAACATGGTGAGCTAGAACTGGGGAATGGCCAAGGAATTGATAGTGTACTGTATAATCAAAGTCAAATATGGGTTGCAAAACACTCATGCTAGCGAGACAGTAAGACTCATCATTCTCGGGCTTTAGGGTAATGATTGCAGAATCTTAGGGTCTCAACCCTTGGACTTAGAAGTAATTTAGTTGATAATACAAGAGTTGCCTAATCTATACGTTATAAAATGGGTATTTTAGGATTAGTCCTAAATTTTTATTTACTTAACATTGGCTATCATTTTACATAAAATCTATGTAGGCCATTAGATATTTTTCCCTGCAAAAAATTACATTATTTATTTTTAATGTATTGTATTGTGTTTATTAAGGTTATACTGTACAGAGAATTTAACATATATTGTGAAGAACTATCCAACCATATTCTTGATTACTAATTTACTAATAAAGGAATCATTGACAAGTTTTGGCTTATATATTTGTCCAATTTATATACTGTACATACTTTTTTGATTGATTACCAATAAATGTAAGTAGGTGTGTGAGGATGTAGCAACCTTACTACCTGCCATGGGCAATTAGCTCTTAAGGGAGTGGGGGTGATAAACCAACCCTCTAATTTTATTAAAAAAAAGAAACAAAAACTGTGGTGTGTGAATGTGCATGGGTGCATTCAGGTTAAGATGATTATATGTATTATGATCAAGAATGAAGCAAGTGGCTTTTGATTTACAGAGCTCACGTATCCGTATGAGAGCCGTACCTTGTTACACTTGGAAATATACTAGTGCAAGGGTGCTGCCAAAGCCCTTACTCTTCAACCTGGATGTCTGAGTTCTAAGAGAAAAGTGTGAGCAATTGATTTTCTTCCATATACTTGGGGAGGTACATTTGCCCCAATCAATTGCCCCAAAGAACCCATTTATATAATACTTCTGTTGATGAGACAGGGGCCATTACAATGTCATGACATCCAGAAATTTTCAATCAGTAATGGGTATTGCATCAGGCACCTACCAAACTCACTTTATTTTTGCTTTTATTTTTTGGGGGTGAAATAATATCAGAAATTAATTAATAAATACTAAAACAGTTTTTCATATGAGTATTGTAAGAACAAATCCAAAATTATTCTTGAAGTCAATTCAATTAACAAACAAATTTATATTCTTAAAAGAGAACTAAAGAAATTATTCATTATTCCTTAATTAAATATTTGGTGGGGAATTATTCAGAAATCTCTCGTATTCTGAGTAAGCGTCCTTGGGGTTTGTTCAGCGCCAGTATATACTGTATATAATATCTTTGTACCTTGGTTTTGGCCTTCCTGTTGAATAAGTGTGTACGTTCTGAAGAGTGTTCGATAAGGATTAGTCACCGGGTCTCCTGTTTTATGACTAAATTACAGTACACCTATTATGCTATCAGTGTCGGTTTACAGAGGAGATAAGTTTTAAAGATAAAACTAGCCTTATCGTGACTTCCTGTGTAGCGATTACCCTGTAGAGGTGGCAGTGATGATGTGTATGTCAGATGTCGTTCATAGCTGGGTGCTGCTATTCCGTCACGTTAGTTTACTGCAATATGTATCGTGGTAAGTAGTATATTAAACGCATAAAAAATTTCCCCAGGTATGATCCCCGAGCAAGGTGAAATTCTGGTTAACTTTCTTTAGCTATTTGCATCTGTCTACCCAAGAGCAATTGGAAATCATTTGGCCGATCGTGTTCAGGATATTAATTTGCCAGTTTAGATGACATGTTGTCCGGTCATCCTTGGTAATTCTTTGACACAAGGCCTTAAGCTTAGTTCCGGGTGTCGTTGTTGTGTTGGTGAGAGCTTTTACAACACAAAGAGTAACTATTATTATTATTTTATTTCTGGGATATATTACAAAATTTAGCACTACACGATACTTTCAAAACAATACCTTCAGTCCTGCTGCTTGCAATAAGGATAACTATGAAGTGAACAGTTTAACTCAGGGGTGGGCAATGTAGCCATTAAGCCACATTTATGCCAAATTATTTCTGTTGCTTGCCATTTTATGTTACAAATACAAGGCTTTACTTTGTGTTAATATAATACATTTGCATCTACATTAAGTGTGTGGCCCGCGAAGTGTGCCACCATTCATCAATGCCCCTCCATCAAAAATAATTGCCCACCCCTGGTTTAACTGGACTACTTTTCTTCGCGTTTGGTGATGGAATATTTTTCAAAATAGCCTACTTCAGTCGTCCTGAAGTACGTAAGTAAAGAATCCCTGAAGACAAACTTCATTGGTAAGAATCCAGGACAATGACAAAAATAGGAATTAGGTCAGTTCCTGAAATTAAAGTAGTGTCATGATAGTCCATTTCATGTGTTATAATTACTAGGTGCCATGACAGTTTGGTCCTTGTGGTAGAAATAGAAAGCACAATAGAGCTATTTCCTTGTGGCAGGAGCTCCAAGTTTTATGACACTGGAAGTATTGGGTGACATGGTAGAGGGGTGTTGGGGAGAGAGGACTGTTGTGGTGAGGCACACTGGGGCGCTAGGGAGGGGAAGGGAATGGGTGGGAAAGCAGAGGTGTGGAGAGAGCAGGAATGTAAGGAGGGATGGTGGGGGTGTGAGGAGGACAGTGGTTGTTTGAGGAGAGGGAGGTTTAGTTTAACAAATTTATTGACAAAGCTTGGAGTACAGTTTTCTTCTAGATAATTCAGTCCTGACACTGAGGTGGTATCACTTCTCACTGCCACCAGGACAGAGGGACAAAGATGGTTTAGGGGATGGGGAGGGATGAGGGGTATGATTGGGGAGTTGTTAGGGTGTTGTAGGGAGAGACTGTGGGCGTGTGGGAGGAAAAGGAGGCGTAGGGAGGATAAAGGGCGACAGTGGGAATGTTGGAGGAAGGAGAGAGTAAAGGTGTTAGGAAGGATAAGGGATGTGAATGCGTGGGACTTTGTTTCTAACTTGATAACTTGCCAAGATAAAGTAAACAGCATCACCGGACATGGCTAAGTAAACAAGACATAGCTATATGTAATAAACAGACCACTTGTGATCATTTTCTGTAAAAATTGCATTCGGAAAGTTCCACTCAATTTGGCAAGATTTTCAGACTCGTACTGGATACTTTAGTTACTTTACCGAAAGAATGGCCTCTATTCTGTTTTCGAGGTTTTTGTAAAGAAATGAATGATACAACTTGGTACGCCTAAAGATGGAGTAGTTTGGGCAGTCTTAATCCGCTCATCTACTGTTCGTATCTTTGTCTTAATCATATCTGAATTTAATTTTGGAGATATGTTGAAGTTTACAATATATATATATATATATATATATATATATATATATATATATATATATATATATATATATATATATATATATATATATATATATATATATATATATATATATATATATATATATATATATATATATATATATATATATATATATATATATATATATATATATATATATATATAAAATAAGTGTTCCAAAAACTTTTTAAACGTAAATATAAGTAATTATAATTTTATTTAATTGGCTGCGCATTAAAGAATGTAGATAATTTATTACAATTCCTTAAGAATGATATAATAATTATGTAATATGTAACGATAAAAAGAAGGGTGGGGTGTAATTGGAAAAAAAATGTAAAGTGTACCAGTACCTGTATATAGGTCTATGTGATCATGAGAGTAGCAAGATAATTGTATTACTACAATGTAATTATTTTATTTAAGAAACAAGTTTCTCTGCATCGCTTTTCATTACGTCCAAACACACGCGCGCACTAGAAGCCGAAACCTCCCCTCCACCTCTTAACAGGGTGACGCCTCCGTATGTGTAGCCTATTATTGATCCGTTGTATCGATCATCTCACTCTGTTCTGTAGGATTGTTGCCACCACATCCTGGTGTAAATGTGTTTGTCTCAACCAGTGTTATTATCAACGCTTTCTGGTATTTGTACGAGTAAAGTTACGGGTATTACTGACATCTTTGTGATATTGATGCTCTAGATACGTCAAAACAGTGAGGTCTAACCATTTTTCAGTAAGACAAAAGAATTCAAAGATTATTTTCAATTCCACATTTAATGGATACAAGTAATTTTAATACCTAATGTTTACTAACACCAGCGTATTATGAGTTAACTGACCAGGATTTAGGAGGGTGTATCGAGGCTGACAAACATCACCACCCCCAGCATCACTAACACAGGGGTAGAATAAATAATCTTTATCAGTTTTGGTTGGAAGGTTATCTGGGTTATCTTAAGTTCTGAGTGTACTGTTCATTCATTTTGGTGCTGGTCAAGCTGGTTGAAGATAAGATCAGAATACAGGTATCAACTAACGTTAGTGTTATAACGGGTAAGATGTTTAAAAATTTATTGTGTATAGTATCGCTAGTTTTCTTTTTTACATGAGAAAGTGCCTTTGTAGTGGTTATATCTGAAATGAAATATATATTTCTGTGAGCTATTGTTTTTGTACGTTATGGAAGATACTGTCTGTCCATGATCAGCTAGATTATAAAAATACAATACTAATTATGTAAGGCTTATTATAGATCAGTGCTTTGACAGTATTACACCCTGTACAGGGTAGGTAAATCAACCTTATCAATCAACCTAGTTTTGTTAATGATGTCCCAGTGATGTGAAAAAGCTGCGTTACTTAGATAAAGAATCCCGAACTTAAAATATAGTGAACAAATTTCGGCTCAGTTTGCGTTCTTAAGAT